TTTTTTTTATTGTCAAAAACTTTACAAAATCTTTCTTACTCCAATCTTTTGAACAGTAGTGTATACCTAATTGTGTATAAAAATTCCATAGTGTAGCCTTCACTTTGGTTCCTGTGGTTCTTTTCATCAGTGATCATGTCGGATGATGCTGTGGAGAAGCGGAGGATACAGATCAGGAGGAAGAAGATGCAGGAGGAGCCTGTAACGCTCTCCCCTCAACAGGAAGCTGTCATCCAGGAGCTGCTCACAGCACATCAAAAGACCTTCGACATGACTTGTGCCCACTTCATTCAGTTCCGGGTAACATACTTACCTGATTTCGATTGTCTGTTTGAGATTTCTTCAAATACTGTATATCTTCTGAACAATATTTTTAAGCACTGTCTTTATTAGAGGTTTTATGTCCTCAGCCTTTAGATCGGGATCAGAAATCCATGTCTGAGTGTGGTCGAGAGCCAAACAGCAGCAGGTTCACTTACGCACCCATGCACAAACCGTCGCCTGAAGATGCAATGCAGCAGACCATCAGCTTTGTCTCCCCCTCGTTCCCTTCCTTCAGCTTTCAGAGTCCTGAAAATAAAGAGAAGAATCAACATAAAAGTGCCATCTTCACCTCTCTGCCACATTTTACAGACCTCACCACATACATGATCAAGAATGTAATCAACTTCAGCAAGACGCTTACAATGTTTAGGTGAATACTGGCCGCCTTACAGTCCATATGATATAAAGATACATCACTGGTGGTCACAAGTGATCAGACGAGACATGTTTACACCTGATAGTTTTTTGCTCATGTCAGTTTAGTCAAGCAGCTTGACGGATACAAGATTATAATGAATTTGTTGTGTTTTGAATGACAGGGCTCTAATCATAGACGACCAGATCTCGCTGCTGAAAGGCGCCACCTTTGAGATCATTCTGATCCATTTCAACATGTTCTTTAATGAGGTGACAGGTATCTGGGAGTGCGGCCCGCTGCAGTACTGCCTGGATGACGCCATGCGAGGTGAGGGTCTTCACAAGTCTCCATTAATCTTATATAGACTCTGCTGTATAATAATAATATGAATTATTCAGCAAGGGTGTATTAAATTGATCAAAATTGGCATGTATTACTCTTATATACAAAAGGTTTCAAATAAATTGTTCTTTTGATATTTCTATTCATCAAAAGAATCCTGGAAAAAAATTTATCTCTGTTTACACAAAAATATTAAGCGGCACAACTGTTTTTAACATTGATAATAATCAGAAATATTTCTTGAGCAGCAAATCAGCATATTAGAATGATTTCTGAAGGATTATGTGACACTGAAGACTGGCGCCTGGTTACTCTGTTTGCAGTGCCTATGCTGTGCTAATTTTTTTTCCATGCCCATGTTAACAGATTAGAGCGTTCACACTGCACGTGGTGGCAGTGCGTTTCAGAAGTGGTGCGTCTGCAGCAGTGCAGCCATTGTTTCTTTTAATGCTGTGCTGTACTGCACTGGATTAAAGCCACAGCGCATTGTTCGCATTAAAATAAGCATGTATTGAGATGAAAATGCAGAAATTTCACCATAAATGCATACAATCTAAAGGGTTAGTTCACCCAAAAATTAAAATTAGCCCACAAATTACTCACCCTCAAGTCATCTTTGGTGTATATGACTTTCTTCTTTCAGACGAATCCAGTCGGAGTTATATAAAAAATTGTCTTTGATCTTTCAAGCTGTTTAATGCCACTCAGCGGGTGTTGCATGCATCAGTCCAAAAGAAGTTAAATAAAAAGCACCAATCCATTAAAAAAAAAAAAGTCTCATACGGCTCCGGGGGTGAACAAAGGTCTCCTGTAGCAAATCGATGCGTTTTTGTAAGAAA